GAAACCGTGCTGAAGGGGTCTCAGGGCCGGAGTGGCGGTGGGGAGTGTACAGGGCCTGATCCCTGCCAGTTGGGGCCGATGCCAGCGTGGCCCTTCCAGAACCAAGCTCTTCCAGAGCAGCCTGTGGATGAGCCCCCCAAATTCAGGGGGACACAGGACAGGGTGCTGCGGGCCCTGCCTGTGCTGCCTGCTCCCCCCACGCCTGCACGCCCTTCTTGCACCGGCATTTCCGAGCCAGGCCAGAGCCGGAGCCGCCCTAAAAGGCTGCAAGAGTTTGCAAGCAGCTGTGGAGCAGCTGCCGGGGCCAACGCAGGGGCCGGGGCTGCGGCAGGCGCCCCACAAGTGGCTCAGCTGGCTTTGGGGGTGGATGTGGTAGGACCCTGCTTGGGGACATGGTGGAAGCTCTGGGCCTGCTGCCGCCAGGCTTTGTTCTCGGAGCAGCGCGGCTGCGGCCCCTCCCCAGGCTCCACCTCCGCAGCCCACCCGAGACCCTCCTTCCGCTGCCTGTGCACAAGCTCCTCGCATGGTGCGCAGAGCTGGTGGGCAAGAGCTGCTCTCAGCAAAGCACGGGGGCACCTTGGGTGGTAGAGGCGTCATCAGTAGGGACCAGAGGCAACAGGGCACCAACCAGAAGGGGCTGAGCCCCCAGTGGGTGCAGGCCTTGCAGCAGCACAAGGGAGATGCTTGGCTTTTCCTCTGGGAGAGGCAGGCTGGCTGCAGCACCACAGCTCTGCCCTGGCCCTGCTCCAAGGCTGGGTACCCCGGGGCTGAGCTGGCACAACCTGTTCCTAGGCCATGCTACCCCAGCAGGCTCTGTCCCGCACGGCTGCCTCCCCCTGCCCCTTCCCTGCCCTCCGCTCATGGGTTGCTGTCCCAGCTGAGCCAGGGCTGGCTTGGTGGCTGCTCACGTGGGGCCGCAGCCGCCTCACCTTCCCCTGCGCTTCCCCTGACCTTGACTGCGCAGCTGGGACTCACGCTCGGGCACTTACCACATCCCTGCCCGACCCAGCCCTGCCAGGCAGGCACCGGCTGTTCCTGCTGCTCTTCAGCATGACTGTCCCATCGCCCGGCCCAGCCCTCGCCTGGCTCCATCGCTCCCACTTTCCCCTCCCCATCTTTGATGGGGAGCAGGCACCCCTGCAGCTGGAACCGGGGAGATGTGGCACCACAGCCGCAGGCCAGCTCTAGGAGGCATTTGGTTTCCCGCAGCCAGCTCCTGCCCCCGGCAGAACTTTCCAGTAGATTAGCAAGACAATTTTCCTTACAATTGCTCATCGTGGTAAGAGCTGCAATTATTAATGACCGTTCCAGCTGCCAGAGCGGGAGGAGTGGCTCTTCCCCACACCCGCTGCCCCCAAGCCCATTCCAACCGGAGGTGCCGGCGTGGCCTCGCACCCGTCCTTTGGGACGGCAGCTGCATCGCATGAGTAAATGCTTGGCTGCTCTACGCCGGAGCGTGCCCAGAGTCGGTGCACGTGGCCCACGCGTGCCCCGTGACTTCTTGTTCCCTGCACAGGACTCTGGGCCAGGGCACAGCAGGGACCAAGGCCCACCCCCGGGTAAGCAGGGACCCCCCTGCAGGGTTGGATATCTGCCCCCTTCCCCCTTGCTGCAGCTTTGCCCCCCAGATTAATTACTGCCTCTGTTAATGGTCCTGCCTGCAAGGAAGAGAGAGGGATGACCCAGGTGACATGAGGGGCCCAGCCTGGGCTGAGAGGCAGAGGAGGAGAAATCCGAGGTGAAGATTTTCCCTGGAGGGAGCTGAGTCAGGCCTGGGGGGGGGAAGCAGGGCGAGGGCTGAGTGTGACCTTCCCAGCTGGCCGCACCTTGCTGGGTGAAACCGCAGGCCTCAAGACAGCCGGCACTGGCAAAGAAGTGTTTATTAAAGGCACTAAAAGCACCGTGGCTACATCAGCGGCAGTCCGACCGGAGAGTGCGGGTTTGGGAGAGGCATTTACAGGCCTGGGACGGCGGTGGCAGGCACTCTTTGGTAGGAAGCTGTTCCCAAGCCTTGC